GAGATCGGTGCCTGTTTCAAATGGACAAGGAGATCAGCTAATGGTTTAGCTGACACGTTGGCTAAACAAGGGACTGTGAGGGAGAGTATGTTCTGGGCAGTTTTGTAAGAAAGATAACTGGGGCTCAACACCTACTTAGGGGTTGACAGCTGTACTTAAATCTGGAAAGTTATTTAATGAAGTTATCGTTTCCAATAAAAAAAAACAAAGCATTTGTTAAGGCCCACTCCCTTTCATCTGAGGCTTTTTTAATTTTTAAGGAAACTCCTCCATACAATCCATTTCCTCATTCCTCTAGATAGTAAGAATCCTCCCTAAAGCTCCCCACGAAGGTGCAAAGGAATAGTTAAGACCCCTAGCTCCCTAGATACTTCTTATCCATTTTCTATCTACCACTTGTCTTTCTTTTTTGAAGACATTCCTGATTAGCCTTCTCTTTTCTGCACTTCCTAAACTTCTCACATTCCAACTTATTATCTTCATTTCAATAGATCGAGAGTCCCTGGAATAATGCTGAAATCAACACTCCCCTTTTCTTCTTTCCTTTCTCCTGCTTTCCTCCTTTTCATAATTTATGCCACATTTAAGTTTTTTAATCTCACTCTTTTTTCTTTTTCTTTGCTTATCACTCTTCCTCCAGTAAACTTTAGTTCCCCCTTCTTTCCTTCCCTCTAATCTTTTTTCTTCTACCCCCTCTTTCGTTACTTGGTCTAAGTTTCACCACTCCCTCTTGAATCCCATTGGAATTTTGACATGGGTCTCGGACTTGGGGAGTGAGGTGATCTAGACCTGCTCCCATAGACTCCTTTTTCTAAGGCCAAATATACCACTGGTTCATGATTTTACCACTCTTCTACATTGCTATCCAAGAATTTCCCAAACACTAGGCCAATGCCACTTCATTTAGAATCATTCTGTGAAGGTATGGCTTTGGCTGGACCTGCAATAACAAGAGGAACAACATTAGAGGAACCTTTAGGAGAATGCAAAACAAAATCAGGCAAAAGCCTTCCTTTGTATACTTTCCGCAGGATAGAAATCCTTGTCAGATAAAACAAGGACAGCATTTGTTGATCATTCCTCTTGTGCTTTTTTACTTAGGTCAATGTTGAGACGAAAATCCCAAGTATAGACACCCTGAAATTGTGCCTCTGCTTCTTTTTCTGTTTCGGCTACACCTGAGTCCACCTCAAAGTTTGAAGCAGGAAGTTCATAACCTTCTTCTCTTGGTACCAAAGAAGTCTTGCTAGAGGAGTCTTCAAACAGAAGCTCCATTCCTAACATGTTGTTGTCCCACAACTTACATGCTTCATTGGTATCAATACTTACACAAATGTTTTCAAGTTGATTGGATCTATATTGGTGTGGTGTAAGAGCTGGTTCTTGCCGTACATGGAATCTTTAAGTTGCCTTGTTCGAGAGTTTCTTAGAAGACTTGTTTGACTTGCTACCAAGGTTATAATGTTTTGGCTTGATGGGGGAATGTTGGAGTGTACAAACTATATGATGCATGAAGAAAGGGGGTAATTTAGGAAGAAAACTTATAATCAAGGATTTTAATATAATATCTTCTCATTGAGGACTGCTTTATAATTTGAGTTGTAGTTATAATATGAAGCATCTCTCTCATTGAGAGAGTAAGATTTGTTGTGGTTTGAAGCCCTAATTTTCTTCTTCTCTACCATCTTTTATCTTATCTCTCCTATATTCTCTCTTATCACTCTCGAATCATGATAACATTTCTCTTCTCTTGTCGTCTCTCTCTCTCTCTCTTTCTCACTCACATCTTCTATTTTCTTGAGAAACTGGTGTTCCTTCCTATACAGCCCACAGTATAGCTGCCGTTGTTCATCTTGAGAATGTCTTTCCCTTCTTCGGTCATGTTGAAAAGAAAGCACTGTCGAAAAGGTTTATTATAGTCATTGGAGGACTCTACCTATACCCAGAAAAAGAAAGAAAGCTCCCATGTGCTGGACAAAAGGTATGGGAGATAGATAGGTGGTTAGAAGGCTCAGAACTTGCTCTACAGGGAAAGCACATATATGGTGATAAGCAAGAAGAGGGCCTTCATGATAGATGTTTATTTCCATATGTACTACTTAGTCCCCATTCATTTTCACTTACCTGGGTAAGTTTACCCAGGCAAGTGTTTCCTAGGTAAAACATGTTCAGGTAAGTTCTGTTCCGACGTTCTTGTGTGATATAAATTACTCATGCAAAGAGAGATGCGGGAGGGAGAGAGTGTTATTGGTACACAGGTAAGTTGCTTGCCCACCCTCTAGGAAGGTATTAGCTACCTGGGTAACTGATACTCAATAGTGCAACAAATGAATGCTCGGATCGTGGTCAATTACCTGGTTGACCAACTTACCCCTCGCTAAAAATCGTCAAACAAATGGAGCCTTAATAGAAAGCCCTCACCTTTGGAGGAGATGGTCCTTCCCATACTGCCTCAGTGCTTCATAGGAAAAGAAATCAGATTAGGAGTACTAGAACTTAAGGTCTTAAAGAATGAGACACATAATAACAAGCTTGATGTGGAAATTGACCAAACACTAGAGTCCAAAGAAGATGGTCAAGACAACAACCCTTGAAGAATTCAAAAACAAAGTGCTTCTGGAATTTCATTATCCCTTGATGTTCTTCTGAATCTCAAATCTCAGTTCAGCCTAGATTTAGAGATGAAAATACAATTGGTAATTAAACTCTCTTTGCATTAAGGAGGGAATACGAAGAAGGGATTTTGTCCTTTAGTGGCATATCTCCTCCACCACAGTCGTAAAATATAAATGGTATATTTTAGTAATTCAATGCTCTTCTGAATCTGAAATCTCATTTGAGCCCAGTTCTCGAGATGGAAACACAATGGGTAATTAAACTGTCTTTACATTAAAGAGGGAATATGAAGAAGGATTTTGAACCACCATTTTGTTGCTCATGGGCCCTACAAAGTACTTAATTGGAGCTTCTGGCTTTCAAGTGGATGCTGTATCTACATATTAATTGGTATACTTGTATCCGTATCTATCCATGGCCTTTAACTTAGGAAAATGGAGAGGTCCATGTCCATATCAATTTGGGGATTTTAGCATAATAGAATAGGTAGCAATCTCTGATTTCTTGAATTGCAAGAAAATTCACTCTTTTTTAATTTTTACTTGTTGGAACTTCACCCATTGGCTTCTTTGTTAATCTTTGTTTTCTATGTTTTGTTTTTTGATAAATAATCTTTGTTTTTTTGTTCCTAATTATCAAAACTACATGATAGAGTGAGTTCAAGCAAAATTTAAACTCATACAAAGTGCAAATGATTCTAATAGGTCAACTGAATAATTTACTTATACAATATATAAACTAATATTTAGCTTTATGTTTGGAAAAAATCATTGTTTTCTATGTTAAGCATTGCTGCTACCCTTGTCTGAAAGTTTTCTGAAGTTCCCCATTTTTTATACTGTAATATCAAGTTTCATCTATGTACTGTTTTATGTTTTTATGTAACCGAACTTGTGCACAATAGTATGTGCTTAAATTTTCTATTGACACTGCAGTAATATATTAAAGGTGTTTATTAAAATAACAAAAAATATGAATTGAAATTTGAAGGCTTCTTTTATTTTTCTTTGTTGCCTAAAATTGAAAATTTCTATTGACTTTAGAGACATGTTCTAATAGTTTCAGTTGTCAAGGCATCTAGGTGATTTTGGGCAACAGTGGGGTGCCTATTTGCCTAGGTGATACGAATTTCATAAAATAAATAACTAAAATTTGCTTAGTTCAATAGTTTTATACACAGCATGCACATTAATTTATAAAATAGAAATTTTCTTTAGAGTACAATGGTAAAGATGTCAACTGTGACATGCTGTTTTATCACTGCTTCATGTTTATTGCTTCACATGCAGTACATGCACCATAGATTTTGTCTTTTCTTTATTAAGAACATTAAATATTATCTCAAAACATGGAAATAATCATATCTATGACAATAGTATTTTAATTATACTAATTTGAATACTTTAAAAAATAATACTAATATAATAAGTATTTAATAGAGATTTCATATCAAATTATCAACTAAATAAGGCTATAATTTTATATCAAAAAATTTAAAATAGAGAATAAGTAAAAGAGAAAGGAACAAGGGTAGCTGCTGTTTTATTTAATGTAAGGGAGAGTGATTAGAGAAAAAAAGATACCTCTTTAGACTTTTCTTCCTTTCTCTTCCTCTTCTCAAAACCCTTGGATATAGTAAGATGTAGCAATATGAATATATTTTAATAGGGTATCCGTCTTGTCTTTTTTGTTGGGCAAGTGCCTTATCTTAGACAGGTACCTTGTTTCCATAAGTCAAGATGTTCAGGTGAGGTGCCTTAACAACCATGACTTTTCAGAGTCATAGGACATGCCCTAGATAACTACTTTTAGCAAGCATGGTTTTATTTTCTTGTCAAAAGGTTACAAGATAAAAAGGAAAAAAACCTGCTTGATAGCATTAGACTCGATGCTTGATTTTGGTATGCTATATTTTGTCTTTATTTTTTTGTATGTTTTTGTTTCCTTTGTATCATATTCTATATTGTCATTACTACAATTATTTCATGAAACTACAAGAAGAGATAATCCTCACATGGCACAGGCAGGGATTTGCAGCGGATATCCGGTAACAACACTGTAAAAGTTGGAAATTTAAGCAGTAAAGAGGTCAGATTTTGCTGGCTACCTTTATTCCCAATTTATTAAAGCACTTTTGTAGGTAATGACTCTATTTGATGATATTAATTCTTCACCATCTAGTTCATCTGAATAAATGGGAAACTTATTTAATTTAACAACAAGCAAAATTAAAAATAATGCAGAAAAAAGGAAATATTTAGAGAGGAGGCTGTAACAAGGAGGGAGTGAAGAGTGGAGGGAAGAGCACTCCAAGTCATGGGGATGGTATCAATCATAAAGTAAAGGCATTATTGCACCTATGCCCTTAATAGGGTGGAAACAATAAAACACAAAGGATAATGGCCTAATAACAAATTATAGTGGTCTGCCTGTCAATTCAAGTTTGGAGTAGATATGTAGCATTCCCGACTTGCTAAGAGTTGCCTATTGCTTCAGCTGACAACTCCCTCAGTAAAAACATCTGCGAACTGCTGATCTGTCTTTACTTCAGGCACACCTCTCCAGATAAACACCCTCTCCCTATCTCTAATGAAATGATGATCCACCTCAATATGCTTGGTGCAGTCATGCCTGACTAGATTTTGTGTGATGTTAATTGCTGCCTTGTTATCACAATAAAGTATGGTTTAAAATGTCCATAAATTTTCTAATATCTTGATGTCATATTTCCTTTTCCATGGGTACTGCCATGGAATTTTACTAGAATTGACATGTTCATCACCAATGGACACTACCGGCACTTTGTGAGTACAAGGATATTATAACGTAAGTTGGTGACGATATTTCAGATATGTGAAGTGGCAATGTTATCACGCACCTAATAGACATGATTACCACTTCAAGCCAGCTTGAACTATACCTTGCCCTATATGGAGTTGGCTATATGAATCCCTATTCCACCTTTGACTTTGTTCAGTGCCATATTGTTAAATTATGGGCCTTTAAATCACTTCAATGTTTGGTGTCATTAGATGTCATAAAGATCAATTGTTGAAAGAAGGTCCTTCACCTTTTAGATTTTAGAACATGTGTCTAGAATATCTTGGGTTTGAAAATATTGGTCAAGGAATGGTGGGAAGAAGGGGGTGAGACACATGGTGGAAGAGGCTTGTGGTTTTTCAAAGAAATTGCAAAAGTTGAAGGAGAAAGTGAAATGTTGGAACAGGGAGATCTTTGGTAGAATAGAGGAGAAAACGAAAAGAATTTGTAAGATGATTCAGGAGTTGGATACCAGAGAGAATCAACGATTATTAGGCAACAATGGAAGGGAAGAGAGCATCCAATTAAAAACAGAACTGGGGACGATTCTAAGACATGATGAAATCCACTGGATGCAGAAATCTAGATGCAAGTGGCTGCTAGCTGCTAGAAGGTGATGGAAACACCAAATTATTTAACATCCTAGCTTTAGGAAGTAGATGGAAAAATGCGGTATCTAGATTGGATGTAAATGGGGAAGTGTAGTTTGCACCTGGTTTAACAGAAATTCAATTTGACATTTTTAACCTTGGCTGTCATTTGGTCATATTTAGCAAACAAAAAGAAAAAAATTAATTTATTTTGTTCGTTTTATGTTCAAGTGTGGGTGAACACCGACCCATTCTCCTGTTTGAACCCTAATTAGTAGAACTGGTGCCAATCCACTGAAACCCTTCCTCAACAGTGGCACTTTCTGAGGAAACCAGTGGCACTCTATCAGAAAGAAATATTGTTGGAAGAGAAATAACATGGGTGAAACTCTCCAAGGAAATTATTATTTGAAGAGGAAAACTAATGACAAATTGGCAGAATGGTTTTTGGAATGTGTGAAAGATGATTTGTGTTTGGACGAAACACTGAACCCGGACTATTTTTCAGTTATGCCCTAGGCCTTGGAGATTGATGGGTAAAATTGGAAAGTTACACATAACCCCTAGACTTGATTATGGCACTACACTAAGTGTTGGATTAGGTTGTCTTTGATATGCCAATTAGTGAGATCCATCAAGGGTCAAAACCTAAGTATGTTGGGGCATTCTGAGAATTCATCTAAGTGGGTGGTCATAGCAATAGGATTGGCTTCTTTGTCGAACAAAGTGAATGATAGGGCTTACACTCTCTCTGATGGAAACCTAAACTGTCGGCAGTGGATTTCAACTGTGTTTGAGATTTGGTTTTGCAAAATATATTTATATGATATATATGTTATGTTTTATGAAAAATGTTTGCAAAAGGTTTTAATTACCGAGATCCATCTGAGCATGTGATGTTGTACCTTGCAGCTAGGGGAGAGGTCCTTCCTTGTCGGGCAGTGTTGCAATCATTATGGGCCGAGAGGTTAAGTGTAAGAGACCATTATAGGGCTGATTACCTGATGGGCTTTATCTTACTTAAGTCCATTATCCTTGGATCTTCATAGGATGGCTGAATTCAAGGATCATTTAAGTGTAAATGTTGTGTCCATATTAAGCCCATTGAGATGTGCTCAGGGGTTCACTGCGTTTAGTAGTGAATTCAGCCAAGCCTTATCACAAAGGCTGGGCCGAACCCATGTAGACTTATGTGAGGTCATTGTGGGGTCCCACACCATACAAATCAGGCTTAAGTTGGTCATGCAACACCTTGGGTCGTGAGCCTTAAAGCTGATGGGCCTAAGGACCACAATTAATGTGTCAGCACCCAATTTTTGCTCAGTCCACCGCCTAAACTCCAATTCACCTCACTCCGTAGCCAAACCCATCTCAACCCTCCATTTGATGGCCCAAAAATCCTCGCCATTGAACCAAAAGACATAGTTTGATCCATTTTCTCAAAATTACCAAAATACCCCTAACAAAATTCCCAATTACCCCTTGCACCAAATTCCTGAATTACCCCTTGCACCAAATTCCCAAAATATCACTTGGATCAATTACCAAAATACCCCTAACAAAATTCCCAAATTACCCCTTACACCAAATACCAGAATTACCCTCACCCAAATTCCCAAAATACCCTTTGACCAAAATTACCAAAATATCCATTTCAAATGCCCAAAACTACCACCAAAATCCCCCTCATACCCTAAATTCCTAATTCCCAAAATGCCCTGGGCCAAATTACCAAAATACCCTTCAAATCCAAAATTAACAAAATACACCTTCCAAATTCATGAAATACCCCTTGTCCAAATTCCCAAAATATCCCCCTTTACCAAATTCCCCAAAATACCCTTGACCAAATTCCCAAAATACCCTTGACTTGATTACCAAAATTACCACTTTTTTCCAAAAGTTACCAAAATCCCTTACCCAAATTCCCAAAATACCCCTCCTTCCCAAATTACCAAAATATCCTTTAGAACTAAATTACCAAAATGCCCTTCATTCCCTAAATTATCCGAATACCTCTTTAAACCTGTACCTTCAAACCCCAAATCACCAAAATTCCCTCGAAGTTATCAAATTACCAAATTGTCCAAAGATTATGAAATTGCCCTTTAGATCCCAAAATTCCTTTAAACCTTAACTTGCTGGAAACCCCCCTTCCATCATGAAAGTTGGCAGAACCTTCCCCTCCCTCCTATATAAATAGGAGGCTCCCTTCCCAAGAAAAAGGGAGTTGGTAAGGGGAAAAACAGTGAGAGGGAAGAGAAGCTCAGGGGTATCCAAGTTGAATAGGTGAGAGAGAGCGACTGAGAGAAAGGAGAAGCTCCTTTGAGAGTAGGGTTGCAACTTGGGCAGGCCGAACCTGAGCCCGAACTAGCCTAACCCGTGATTTTACATGGGCTAGGCTCGGGCCCAGGCCCAGCCCTTAGGTAGCCTAAGGGCTACCTATATGTGTATATATGTAAATGTTGCATAAATATTTACATATATATACATACATATTTGTATATATACTATTTGTATAGATATTTTGCATACATATTTACATACATACATACATACATACATAAATATATGCATATATATTTGTATAAATATATTTATATAGGTATAATTTTAGAGTGGATTCATTGACCAACCCGAGCCCGGCCCGGGCTCGAGCCTTACCCGAGTGCATCAAATTACAAGGTGGGCTGGGCTCGGGTTGGAAAATCAGGCTTGACCTCGAGCTCGGGCCTTAAGCCCAAATTTTAGGGTTAGGCTTGGGTTGACTATTAACCCGGACCAACCTGCCCGACTTGCACCCCTATTTGAGAGCGATAGGTAGGGGTGCTCACGGTTCGGTTAACAGAATCATAGGGCTTTTTTTAGGACCGAATCGGTACTACTGGTTTTTGGAAAATCGGTAACCGAAACCAAACTGAAACTAGTCGGTTAACCGTTGGTTCAGTTCGTCAGTTTTTCGGTTTTTCAATTTTTATAATATATATTATAAAAATATATATCAATATATAATAAAAATTAAAAATATATATAAAATATTATATTTTAATTAATATATAATATATCATATATTATAAATATATATATATATATATATATTTATATATATATAATGCATATTTATTAATTTATAATATATAAAAAAAATATATAAAATATATAGAATATATGTATACCGGTCGGTTCGGTTAACTGCTGCTTTTCTATATTGGTTAACCAAAACCGAACCGCTACCTTCAGTTTTTTAAAAGCACCAAACCAATCAGTTCGGTTAACCAATTTTTTGATTCGGTTTTGGTCGGTTTTTTCGGCCGGTTCGGTTTTTTGGTTTTTTTTGCTCACCCCTAGCGATAGGAGAGAAAGAGATGAGGGAGAAAGGGGTTGAAGGGGGCTTGAAGAGAGAGAGAGTTCTATCGACCTAAAGTAGGGTGAGAGAAGGATAAGCCTAGGGAGAGAGAGAACGAAGAGAAGATGGAGGAAGTCTCTGGCTGAGCGAAAAGAAGGGAGAGCCTGAGTGAAAGTGAGAAGTCGGTAGAGGGGTTTTCGAGCCAGAGAGAGGAGGAGAGAGCGTGCAAAGGGAGAGAAGAGTCTTTTGAAAGAGAGAGCCAAAGTCGATATTCATCGTCCTCTTCGATGAGAGCAGATGGAGTCCAACAAGCACCACTCTCGTCTTCACAC